CGGGGGCGAGGCCGGGCCGGGCGCCGAGGCCCGGTCCGCACGGAGCAGCTGGGGGTGACGCGGGCTCCTGCGCCCCGGCGATGCGGCTTCCGGGACAGGGAACGGAGTGGCCCCGTTCGTTCCCAGGGAAACCGCGGACGAGGTGGACCCCTCAGCCGCCCGACTTCGCAGACGCTCTGCGCCCGAACTGCTCGCATCCCTGACAAAGCTTACTTTTCTGTACCAACAACCTCCATTCATCTTCCCGGTGCTCTGAACGGAGCCCAGGGACACTCTGCCACTGAGCCACACCCTCGCCAGCTTCTTCTGTTTTGAGACAGGGTCTCGTGGAGTCGCCCAGGCTGGGCTCCCACAGGTGATCCTCCTGCCTCAGCCTCCCGAGGTAGCCTGGATTGCAGGTGTGCACCCCCGCGTTCAGCCCGTACTGACCCTGAACCCGTTCCAGGCAGGGTCTTTCATTCCAGGGACGGTGACGCCCCTGCCCTTTGGCGGACTGGAGCTGTAGGACATAAAGGGGGGGCGCTGCTTGGCGGATTGGGCCCCGACGGGTGCTCTGGTAGTCTCGCAGGGTGCGGGGCCCTTCGCACAGGCGCTCGCTAGAGACTCCGGCGCGGCCCCGGGCAATCCGAGGGCGCCCGTTTGCTCGGCCAGCGAGGCCCCAGCTTTCACAGCAGCGGGCCCTTACGCGGAGGGGGCTCTTAAGACCTGAAACTCTGCGAAGGCGCGCCCGGCGGCCTCGCTCCCCGGGGACAGCGGGGAGCTCTGCGTGCCGCCACCCGCGGGGTCTGCCCCGGTGCTGTGCGGGCGGCTGAGGACCCGCCCGCCCGGTGCTGCTGGCTTCCAGCTCGCTGCCGGCTGAGGCTCGCAGCTTCCCCTGACTGCTCCGAGGGGGAAATCGGTGACCCAGGAGCGCAAAGTGACTTTCCCTTCCTGGCTCCGGGGGAGGGGAGGGAGAGGGGGGAGGAGGAGGGAGGGGAAGGGGAGGGGAGGAGGGAGGTCCTAGGAGAGGGTGGGCTCCTTTCTCCCCCCTCGCTTGGAGTCTCTCTGCCCCTCCCCGCCAGGCAGGAGGGAGAGCAACCAGTCCGGGTTCCTGCTGAGGAATGTGGGGACTACCAGGGCCCCAGGAAATACCCCAAGGCCGGGTCGTTTATGAGCAGGGGTTTCACAAGCGTGGAAGCCCAGGCGCCTGCAGCTGGATAATTGCTAGGTGGGCGGAGAGGGGCAGAGGGCGGCTCAGAGCGCCCTTTACCCAAGCAAGGCGCTGCCCTGCGCGGCCCTGCTCAGGGCTGCAGCCCGGCTCTTACTGAAGTCCCTTGTCCAGAGCAGCGTGGGGCGACTGCTTGCCGGTGGAGACCCAGGAAGTTTCTCTCCTCTCCTCTCCTCTCCTCTCCTCTCCTCTCC